GACTGTTAAGCATGTGCTTAGTAGTATTAACTTAGTAATACCAAAATCCTGTTGACTTTAATAAGGCTTACACATATTTTTTTAACTGCTTGGCTAAATTAGGGCTTGAAATCTGAGAAACTGATTCCATTCACCCCTACTCTTGCTGATTAGCCTGGATTGGTGTGAGCAGTTTTATTGACTCTGAAGGCACTGCTGTCCAAAAGTAATCAGTTTGGCTGATATAATAGGACCTGCTGGTAGTGCCTTTGGGGATCTGAGCTGCGGTTTCTGAAGTATGTCTTAAACGGTCTTTGCTCTCTTCAGGCTTATGGGATGATCTGAAGGTCAGAAGGTCTGTGAATAAAACTTTTGATCAATCAGTATTGAAAGTAAAAATGAATTTGATTATTGTAAGCTATTTTTGGCTGATGACTGATAGCCCAACTTATCTGCTATGGAAAATCTTACTGTGAGTTTGGGTTTATGTGACCAAAAAAGTGACACAATTTTCATTCCCCTATTTCTTGATTGGTTTTTACATTAATAAAAACAGATCTCTTGTGTTGTTTTGGATACTCTTTAAAAGTAGTGTCTTATTTTGTCTGGGACCACGTAAATCTGCAGAAACCCCGAAATCCAAAAGAAAAAAAGTGCCAACTTCTCAGCAGCAAGAAATGAAAACATTCCCCACAGAAATGCCAGTGAGAGCTAGCCTTTGTGGAGCAGAGGAGGAAAAATATAATTTTGTGATGGGAATGCTGTCAGACTGAAGCCCCAGTATGTTTAGGCCTTCAAAGCCAGTCTGTGAACCACCCAGCTCACCTGTACTTGGTTTTAGGTAGTCAACACTGAAAGAAGTGAGGATTTTTATAGCCTTGGCAATATTTAGTCATCCTTGGTAGAGTGACCTATGGGTATTGTTGAGGTGAACTGAGTGACTGGCAAAGCCATTTTTGTTCGAACACTTGTTTAAGTGAAGTTTATGGAGGGTGCAGCAGCAACAGCTGCCAGAGATGGTAGTAACTTGTGTTCTGCGTGCCTCTGTCCTCTGCTGACCACCTTGCTGGAGGGTGTGGGCTGCTCGCATGGGCTCGCCCAGGAAGAATGTAAGGAGATGATGAGTGGTGGGATTTTTTGAGGTATTCTGGGGGTTGGGTTTGGGTTTCTTTAAATCCTTTAGGGAGCCTATATTGCCTCAACTTTGGTTTTGCTTAAAACTGTTTTTCAGTAGGCTATGTGGAAGTAAAAAGCCAGTTTTACAGTACTGGGAGTTTTCCTTGCTGAAATTCCTTGCTGAAATGAAACTGGTTAAAAATTCCCATCCCTTCTCTGTCCCCTGCTCCTTTTCCTTGTTGCCACCCCAGTCCCAATCTGGCACATTTCATGTTGACCGTAAATTTCTTCACCCTTTTTTTCTATTAAATGTGTTCGTGGATGATGCAGTCACTTGAGCAAATATTTGTCAGAAAGCCTCTCACCTCATCTCCCCCTTTGAGCCTTTCGAATGTCTTACATTGAGGAATATTGTGCAGAAGTTTATTTTTCCTGGCAGTAAATTATAGTGACCTGTACGAATGAATGGAATGATAATAAGGATTATGTAATTTATTTAGAAGTCTATTCCTTTCCTATAGAGAGGCAGAAAAGTAAATACTAGGTTTTTCAAAAGTGACTAGTTATTTGGGGTGCTGAGTACTCAGCTTATGGCACCCAAAGGCGCCCTGGTTTTCCCTGAGTGAATATTCAGCATTTTCTGATGCTCAGGCCCAGTGAGATACGAAATCAGAAGTCCAAAAGTGACTTTTGCAAGTCACAACCTGCATTTTGGAGTTCTGCATACTTAATCGATTATTTCACTTCCTTTTTGCACTGAATTTGATGAGCTAAAGGGTGTAATTGTTTGTTTACTTTGAAAACATATATATGGGAATGCTCACCCTAAAATGCCTGTGTTGAATTTACTGTGAGTCAGGAGATACTGCACTGGGACTTTAACCTAAGAGGGGGATTGATCTTAGAGAGCTCAGCCATTTCTGTGTTGCCGAAAGCGTGTAATAATTGTGGAGGCTGGGCACAAAATTGCTGAAGCAGTAAATTAAGACTGGCCAGAAGGGGAAACTGACAGTTTTTCTAGTTAAGAGAGTTCTACAGAAGTTAATTTTTTGCTTTGTTTGTCTGTTCTCATACGGATTTTCAGTTCCCACAGGGTTGTGGAGAGTTATGGATGTTTGTTTAGAGGCAATTGCATATGTAGACTGCATCTTACTAACTTCAGGTCGTAATTCTAGGTCAAGTTGTGTGTGGAAAACTGACAGTTGAAAGCCTCTGAAATTGCTTTTCCTATATGGTTTAACTGGTTCCAGAGTTGATTAAGTGTAAGTAATAGAAAATGGTATTAAACATGGTAACGTATTACACTAACATGAGCATCTGACTATATGGTGTAATGTAGAGAACCCTCTGATTATGTCACAGATTTGGGAGGTATCCCAGCAAAAATCATGCCAAATAATGACACAATGCTATTTAGGAGTATCCAGTATTACTTGATGCCAACAACTTTCCAAACCTTGAACTCTTGACAATTAAAAGCCTGGAGCCAGCAGGGCTGAGTAGTTTTCAGACAGAATGTAGGTGTGAAGTATTCTTGTTTTTACCTTGTAATTACTTGCAAGAACCCTCTTAAAATAGTCAACTCAGCTCAGATGGTCTCATTCAAATTTATAAACCTGGCAAAACCGTTGCACTGAATTTTTTACAATGGGAGTAGAAAATACTGAAGAAAAAAGCAGCAAGTCATTGGCAGCCTCTCTCTATTGCACGGGATACTTGTGCACATTGACAGCGTTAGTGGGGAATTGTCCAGTCAAGTTGGCCAGGATATTCTGTGTTGGACAAAGTTGTTCTTTAAGTGTTTGGGATACCCCAATCGACTGCTTTTTCCTCTCTCCTCCTCCTCCATTTCAAAACAGGGGCTTAAGCAGGCTGTAATTAGGGCTTTGCTCAGGGATACAGATGTGTTGGATTGCAGTAGTGGCAAATGGTGGCGATACAAAACTCCATTCGCATCCTGTGAAAGGGAGACGAGTTGATTTTAGCTTTTTATTGGAGTACTACCCAGAGGCTTCAATTAATATCGGATACTTACTGTCCAAGGCAACATGCCAGTGCACAGTAATTGCTTACAACCGAAATGCACAGAGGCTGGGAGAAGGAAGTGTCACTGTCCATTTTATAGATGAAAAACCGAGTTGTGGGGCGATGAAATTTCTTGCCCTGGGTCACACAGGAAGCTGGTGGCAGCGCCAGAAAGTAAAGCTGGTACTTGAATCCTAATCCAGGACCTTAATTAAAAGAATGTTCTTTCCATTGTACAGTTTAGCCCATCAGCTGGTTTTTTTACATGCAGCTGAAGTGCCTTTCTATTCTCTGGTAGGTAGAAACTCACATTTTTATAGTAAGCTTACTAATAGACTAACTCCATTCTCATTAAACATATGTAAAGTCATGCAGTCTTAAGGGAGGACAATTGTAAACGATGTGGTTTTCACTTATGAGTTGTATTGTAGTGAATCCGGGTTGTAGGAAGCAACGTGGGAACGCAGCCACTGAGACTTGTATATAATTAGATTGCTCTTGGATTGCAATTATCACTCGAGTACAATTTCAGCAGCAGCAGTTCTGTTTAAGCATGGAAGAAACTAATTGAATTTATATTTTAATGGCATAAAATAAAAGGTTAATCTTTGAACACTCCTAGTACAGGTAGCCATTTCTGTCCTATATAATGTCATCATCCAGGGAAACAAAAGATGGTTTGGTTTCAGATGAAGTTCAGCACATTACCTCATTTACTGGGTTTTATAAGCAGCTGCCATAGCACGACAGGTCTTCCAAGAATGTGTAAGGAGACCCTGCTGTTTACTTGTAAAAATGAGTATAACTTGTCACAAATGTAAATTTTTTTAAAAAAATAAAGTCCTTTTGCAGCCAGTTTAGCTGTACTTTGACTGGTTTCTAATTTACCTAATAGCCATGCCTTTGGTCCTTGTTACTGAGGAGTGAACTCCAGGGGTGGCAGAGTATCATGCAGTTGTCCCTTAACAGTAATTCATATTTT